CTCGCCAGCTGTGAGCTCAGCTTCTGGCTGAGAGGCGCTCCCTGCTGTGGGAGTGCACTGACCACCAGGGACAGCTCATGCGTTGAGCTTCTGCCCCCTGGTGGTTAGTGCACATCATAGTGACAGGTCATTCTGGTCGTTCCACCCTAACAGTCATTAGGCTTTTATTATATAGATATACATATATGCATGTCTATGGCTTGGCACAATAGTAGGAGTTGGATAAATACAAGTTCCCACTTTACCCTTGGAAAATCATCAACTTATATGGCTACTCAAGCAGTGGTCTACTAATTCAAAAGCATTATAAGTCTTCTTTGAGGGGAGAACTAACATTTTTGCATGAAAAATGTTCTGAAAATATACTTTCACACCAATTAGCAAACTTGAATTATTTTATTTTTTAAATATGTGACTTAAGGGTAGGCTTAGCAAACAACTACTAGAAATGAATAAATAAAATTATTTCTTATTTAACAAGTATTTATTGAGTTCTCACCATTTGGTCAGGCACTGCTGTAAGTGTTGGAACTATAATCATAATAAATAAATAAAATGAAGTCCCAGATCTCGTAGAATTTATATTCTAGTCATAAAACACAAACTAGCATTTTAGAAGAAAAGGAGGGTGATTTCAGAGCTCTGCCTAACTAATATAAGAACAACTTATAAACAAAAAAAAAAGAAAAAGAAAAAAAAAGAACAACTTATAGCCAAAATGTAGTTTTACTTTTTCTGGGCCTATAGGCAATTATTTTTTCAGAGTCACAGACTCCTTTGAGGAACTGATGAAAATCCCAGACATAATCATCATTAAAGAATATGTATATACACACATAAATATATTTGCAAAAATTTGGCAGGGAATCATGAACTCCTTGATTAAGAATTCCTCTGTAGACTCTCTTCTATAGATTTTGATTTTTAAAGTTGGGGAAATAATAGTGAACTTTCTGAGTATATTTTAATGATTTCACTTGTTACTTATATTCAACTCAGCTTTTTGAAATATTTATTAACCAAAAGTTTCTTTTTAATATAAGAAAAATTAATGAACTTTATTTCCAATGGTACTCCGTATAGGCATTTACAGAAGAACAATTCTCTCTCTGATATAAAGTAGACATTTTAGGAATCTAGATGAATTTTTGATTCACTCCGACTAGCATTCTTTTTTTCAAGTTATTTTTAAAAACTTAATTTTATAATAGTTCCCCAACTGTCATCCCCTTGGAATTTCTACCACACTTTAGTCTTTCCTATTCTGCACATTAACTACTGGTTCCTGACACACGGTACTTCCTGGCAATATCTTCCACATGGCACAGATCTAACTTTGTTGAGAAGCATTTATGGAGCACATCTTGTGCCTAATTCACTGCTATCATAGATCAAGAGCTAAAATTTTAATTAAACATTTATAATTTCTTCATTTTTTGTTTCTTTTGTATTTTTAGTACATTTCTGCTACTTGTGATTATGGGTCAACATTTTTCTAAGGTCATGATTTTCTGAAAGAATAAGCATTGTTTCCCAAAATAAGAATGTAGGCTCCAAGTTAGTTTTTATACTAAAGAGGGAATTCTTTAATCCATATGTCTACCTACTAATAATGAATTTATACTTATCATCTGATTTCTGCAATTATTTCACAACTACTTAACACCCAGCATCTCTTGAACCCAGAGATTTCCAATCGGTGTGCCCTGGAGCTTTGAAAACATGCAATATCTGACTATTTAGTCAGGGGTACCAACCTCTTTTCCCATAGATTGTCAAATAAAAAAATTTGTCACAAAAAAAATGACAACAGCCAACACAACATACTGTCCAGTGTGAATGAATCAGAATTATCCTTTTAAAAAAATTGTCAGGTGGGCTGCAGAATTTTTGTGATTTGTTTAGATGTGTCATGAGATGAAAAAGGTCAAAAAACACTGTTTTAACGTAATACTACATCTTTCTTTTCTTAGTAATATATTTTTATGGATATCAGAGAGGAAGGGAGAGGGAGAGAAAGAAATATCAATGATGAGAGAGAATCACTGACTGGCTGGCTGCCTCCTGCATGCCCCCTACTGGGGATCCAGCCTGCAACCCGGACATGTGCCCTTGTCCAGAATCGAACCCAGGACCTTTCAGTCTGCTCTACTCACTGAGCCAAACCAGCTAGGGCTGCATGTGTTTATAAAAGGTTAAAATATCAGATATTCCTTTGAATCTATCTCTCTTGCGCTCCAAACATATATGGTGCTGGCTCCTCAATTTAAAATATAAAGTTCCAAAGTCCTCTCCAAAAATACTTCTGATATCCTAAATTCTTATTTTTACCACAGCAGTTCTCTGTTCCATTAAAAAATCATGTCATTTCTTTCAAATATAGTTTCTATTTTGTTCTTGGCTCCCACATCTACTTGAGCTACCACCCTCCTCATTTTATTTCTGCTATTCAAATCATTCTTCTAATCCAATCTTTTCTCTGAAAATATTGTTTTCCCAACAATCATTGCATAATGTGGTAATTAATCACATTCTCGATGTTGTCATTTTTTATTCTTTACTAAATGATGTGAAACATTTTTATTGTTTAACTTGTGTGTTTATATCTATATTGCAAGCTGCATTCATATCAAGGATGGGACCATGCCTCATGTTTTGCAGTCTCCTCACTACATGGTAGAGGAGTTTATCTGCTGACATTAATAGAAAGCTTATATCTAAAGATAATTTAGTATACAACTCCTTAATTTATACAGTCATATAATAATTATACTTAGGGTAAGTTTTATATCCTGAGCATTTCCCCTCACCCTTCATGGTTATGTTGCCTATTTATAGTCACTATAAGTATTTTCTTTTTTAAAAAAAGTTTAAAAGTCATCCTTGGTATATATATTAAACAGAAATTTAGGGTTATAAAACACTTAAAATCTTGTTTGGAGAGAAAGCAGCCAATTTTTTGAAGGACCAAGAAATTCAGCAAGATATTATGAAATAATTTTTTTTTTTAAGATTACACATTGCACCCTAACCGGTTTGGCTCAGTGGATAGAGCGTAGGCCTGTGGACTAAAGGGTCCCAGGTTCGAGTCCGGTCAAGGGCACGTACCTTGGTTGCAGGCATATCCCCAGTAGGGGGTGTGCAGGAGGCAGCTCATCGATGTTTCTAACTCTCTATCCCTCTCCCTTCCTCTCTGTAAAAAAATCAATAAAATATATTTAAAAAAAAAAAGATTACACATTGCATTTCAAATACACGAGGAAACAGGGATACTTAATAAATGCATCTTAACTAACTTTAAACGGCTTACTTTTTCTAACCACAGTGGTGGGTATTATGTGGAACCTATAATCCAGCTGAAGAGGTAAGACTCTCTTCAATCCACTACCAATTCCCACCATTTTTTAAGTTATGGCAGTATCTTATCTTCAACTATTTGATTTAGAATTCTCTAATGTATGACATGACATATCTTTATTTTAAAACTAGAAGGCCGGTGCACAAATTCGTGCACCAGTGGGGTCCCTCCGCCTGGGCTGCGGGATCGGCTGAAACTGGCTCTCTGATATCCCCCAAGGGGTCCTGGATTGCAAGAGGGCACAGACTAGGCAGAGGGACCCCACCGGTATACAACCAGGGACAGGGAGGGACACAGGAGGTTGGCCAGGTTGGGAGGAACCACAGGAGGGCTCCAGGGCATGTCCGGCCCATCTTGCTCAGTCCCGATCAGCCGGACCCCAGTAGCAAGCTAACCTAATGGTTGGAGCGTCTGCTCCCTAGTGGTCAGTGCAGATAGTAGCAAGGGGTTGAGCGGCCTTAGTATATCATTAGCATATTATACTTTGGTTGAACAGATGACTGGACACTTAGCATACTAAGCTTTTATTAGGCATATAGGATTAGTTTTCACAGCTTTAATATAATTCTTAATATTTTGAAGTAATTGCCACAAAAGACTCAGAATCACTGCTCTAAACTAACAAATAAAATCTATTACTATGTAGCATCACTTATGTTCAACACATTTTACAATGTATTAATTGTAAAATTTTCCTTGACAAGACACTTTTACTGTTAAGAAAAGATAAATTATATGATACTGCTATGCAATAATGAACCCTGGAAAACAATGCAATTGTGATTATACATAATTTCTACCAGTGCCTGATGTCTCTCTCAAGACCTGCCAAGAGAAGCTAGAGACAGGTGAGTCTACTTTTTTCTCAAGAAATTTCATGCCTAAGTTTGGTTCTCTTAAATCTTGAAAGCATACATATTAAAAATTAAGTAATCAATTATTAGATGTCCAGAAACTTAAAAAATCCTGTGAGAAAATACTTATTTGAATTACTGACTTTAAAGTTTAGGGCAATTAAAAAAAAAAAAGATAAACTAGTCCTAAAATTAAAAAACGACAGAACTAGAACTGTCGTTGACAGCTTATCAGTATTTATAAGGAAGGTAAAAGGGATAAAGAGATTTGCTCTGAGGGGGCACAGCCAGGTACAACAAAAATGGTTATCTCACTTCAACACATAAACCCACAGCACAATAAGAATAGAAAGAAATTATCCTCACGTATTCAAATAGGCACAAAGGGGCACTGGAAGGTCTGGTCATTAAAATAACATTTACTATCACTAACTTCTAGTAATGGCAGAAGCCTGCTTAAGGAAAAACGGAGATATTTGAAAGCATATTCTTTGTCTCAAAATTAAGCTTTAAGGGAGAAAGAGAAGAAAAGGCAGACATACAGGGAAAAGTAAGTACAGCTCAAACACAAAGGTATCTGATACCCATTAAATGAAAACAAACCTATCTGCAATACAGAACTTTACCTCTACTTCCATTTCAACACATTTCCTTAAAATTTAATTGATTCCTTAAAATGAAAAGCAGTAGTAATTTATTATAGATTTCATTATGTGAATATACTCATATCTAGTAATATTTACATTATAAAATTATTTTAAATGCTTAAGAAATAAAATAAAACTTACCCCATCATTTTCTCTATGTGGATTCAGCCTACTATAAACAGCTTCAATAATATTGCGCCTAAAAAAAAAATTACACTTTAGTTTTATTAAATTACAATTATTACACTTCTGAGTGTTTAAAATGATACGTCATTTTGCCCTAGCCGGAGTAGCTCAGTGGATAGAGCGTTGGCCTGCACACTGAAGGTTCGCAGGTTTGATTCCGGTCAAGGGCATATGTCTGGATTGCGGGCTGGATCCTCATCCAGTAGGGGGCGTGCAGGAGGCAGCCGATCAATGATTCTCTCTCATTGATGTTTCTCTCTCTTCCTCTCCCTTCCTCTCTGAAATCAATAAAAATATATTTAAAAAATTAAATAATACATCATTTTGACTATGTGACTCAAAAATTAATTGACACACAAAACACTTGCTAAGAACAGTTTCTACATTTCACTCAGAATTTGATCCAGCACAACACATTATGCTCTCAATTACCAAGGAAAGAAGGACCTTCATCCTCAGAGTATGATAATTTCTTTAAAAAAATCTCTTTTGGATAAAATTTTAGTTCTTCTCTAGTATACAAACTATCAACCCATTTCATCTTTAGATAACTGATGCACTTCTTACCCAAAATTATTTAATTATTAATTATAAATAAAAACAAAATTAGTCTTCTTATTCTACTTACTTGCCAGCAAGACCTCCCCCAGGAGGCAAATTTGGGATATTTTCTGCAGACAAGACACGCATGACATGGGCAAGATCAGGCATTCCTTCCTCACTAAACTTCTCCATAATTTCTGTAGATTAAAAAAAAAGTTCTTAAATTAATGTGACAACTCAGTATTCACATAGAATTTAAACAAGGTAGTATTTGGTAGTACCTTTGTTAAAATATAAAAAACAAGCATTACCTGCTATCACACAAAAGCAAAAATAGGTAATATATAAAAAGTTATTTGTATATATGCTCATTCCAGCATTATTCATAAAAGCAAAAACTGGAACAAATTAAATGCCCAACAATAAGGGGAAAATATTGGAATAGCTAGCCACTAGTGAAATGCTTTATAATCCCTAAAAATTATCCCTATGAGCATAGTACAGCTACTTAGAAAAAACACTTTTCATCTAATTTTACATAAAAATAATATAAAATTACTAATACTATAATTATAGAAAAATAAAAGCAATATATGGATAAAAATTATAGAAAAGGGACAAATTTCCAATTGTCCTATAGGCTTTTTTATTTTAATCCTCACCAGAGGGTATTTTTCCATTGATTTTTAGAGAAAGTGGAAGAGAGGGGGAAAGATAGAAATATCGGTGTAAGAGAAACACATTGGTTAGTTACCTCCTGCACGCCCCCTACCAGGGCCCGGGCCAGGGAGGAACCCGCAACTGAGGTACATGCCCTTAACTGGAATCGAGCCTGGTACCCTTTGGTCCGCAGGTCAACGCTCTATCCATTGAGCCCAAACAGCTGGGGCGCCTTATACGCTTTCTGACACCTAAAGAGTATGTCCACAACAACTTATTTAAAATAAAGAAGCCCTGGCCAGTGTGGCTCAATAGGTTGGGTGCTGTCTAGTGCATTGAAAGGCTGCTGATTCAATTCCCAGTCAGGGCACATGCCTGGGTTGCAGGCTCAATCTCTGGTAGGGGGCATGCAGGAGGCAGCTGATCAATGTTTCTCACATTGATGTTTCTCTCCCTTCCTCTCTAAATATCAATAATAAATAAATGAATATAAAAGAGTATAAATTACAAAATTGCTAATGCTTAGAACAAAAATTAAACATTTACATGATCCATTTATATTTATAATTTATGGAAAACATATTTTTAAAATATAAATTCCATCAAGAAACCTGCACCACCCAATCTGAAAAAGAATGTAGTTTTCCTATGGTAATTACACATTTGAAGACCCTCACCAATAATAATCCAAATTCAATAAGCTTATCACATCATAATCATTATCATTCAAATGTATTTACTATTTTTTAAGTAAGTCAAGCCATAAAAGTGCTGGGAGAAAATATAGGTTAATATGTAATTGAATTGAGGAAAGAACTTCCTAAGAATGACATCAAGTAAAAAAAAATAAGATTGACATAGCTTCATAAAAGGTAATTTTATATCTTAAAAAAACAACACAAGTAGGTCTAGCTGAGTAGATCAGTTGGTCCTGATATGCCCAAGTGGCAGGTTAGATCCCTTGGTCAGGGTACATACAAGAAGCAACCAATGAATGCATAAGTAAGTGGAACAAATGTTTCTCATTCCCTTCCTCCTTCCCCTCTCTAAAATCAATCAATAAAAATTAAAACAAAACAAAACAAAAAGACAAAACGAAAACCCCAGCACATATAAAATCAAAATGCAGTATTAAGTTGGGGATCCTGTGATTATCCCTAATGCATTCTCAAGTTTCCAGGGTAACCACTAATTGAATTGTTAAATATTTTTTAAAGTTGATTTTGAGAGAGAGAGAGGAAAGTCAAGGGAGGGAGGGAGGGAGGGAGAGAGAGGGAGAGAGAGAGAGAGTGAGAGAAACATCGACTGGCTGGCTGCCTCTTGCACGCCCTTGACTGGGGATAGAGCCCACAATCTGGATATGTGCCCTGACCAGGAATCAACAGGCAATCCCTCAACGCAAAGGATGATGCCCAACCAACTGAGCAACACTGGCCAGGGCTAATTAAATTTTTAAAAGAACGTACAACTAATAAGCAAATGCAAGAATGAACTAGAATAGAAAATGATGATTAATCCAAAAGGCAAGAAAGAATAAAAAACAGATGAAATATATGGAAACAAATAAGATGGCAGATTTAAATGCAAATATATCAGGAATTATATTCAAGCTCCTCCACTTCCTTATTCCTGAATAATAAAAGATTTTAAGCCCAAAAAACATTAGGTAAGGCCAAGCAAAGTAAGTCTTACAGGGGTGGAGGTGACAGTAGCAAGGTCCAACCAACGTGGGCTATCCAAGCCTGAGCACAGTAGGCAAAGCTTTATCACTGGTTGGGGTACTACCTGGAATGGGGTTCAAAGTCAATGTGGAGCAAGAAAGGTATCTACACAAGGCCCAGGTCAGGACCTGTGGGAGGCAGGAGGCAACCAATCAATGTGTCTCTCTGATATCGATGTTTCTCTCTCCCTTGCATTCTCTAAAAATCAATGGACAAACAACCTCAGGTGAAGATTAACAAAAAGGTAGGTGAAAATTTGAGAAGAAATAGGTTATTAACATAATCTCAAGTACCTCCCTATTGAATACTTATTAATAAGCATAACATATTTATTAACTTTTCAATGGAGGAACCCGAAAGACAACATCTCAAACAAGTGATGAAAGTTAAAATTACCATATCATCATGCATCTAACTTCACTTCTATAGTATTTCTGTCAAAGTACAACCTGAATCTTATCAAGAGGAAACATCAGTCAATCCAAATTGAGGGACATTCTAGAAACGAACTAACCTGTAGTCTTCAAAATATCACGGTCAGTAAAAACGAGAAAAACACAATGCAACTTTTTCACATGGAGGGAGACTAAAGAGGTTCTGCAGAAAAGTGCAGCACATGCTCTGGACTAGATCCAATAAAAGGCATTACTGCAACAACTAGGGAAATTTTAACAGGAATCTACAGATTAGATGGTAATATAATTTCAATGTTAACCTCCTAATTTTGAAGTATGTACTATGGTTAGGTAGATACTGTTCCTTTTTGCGTTAAGAAGTAGAGGGTTAATATTATCTTCAATTACTCTCAATTGGTTCAGAAAATAATCTTTCAGAAAACTGAATCAATTAGGGGGAAAAAGGAGGTAACGCGAGAATGAGAGTGTATGTTATAGAAAGTATAGAGAGAGATGAGTAACATGAGAGATAATGTAAACAAATGGGTAATCTGGATAAGAGGTACTACATGTACATAGGAGCTCTCTCTATTTTTGCAACTTTCCTGTAAGTTTAAAATTACTGCAAAATAAAGTTAAAAAATAAAATTAATAATCTTTCACAATATCAGTGTTAACTCTACCAGTATGATTAAAACATATGGTAATGAATTCCTATAAATAACTTCAGAAGAATTATGTTGTTAGTGGAATTATAGCTGAACTGAATTATAGTGGAATTATCATGAACTAAAGTTCATGATAACTTGAGGCCAATTACACTGGATTCTTCACTCGTTACCAAAAATATAATCAGGGAAAGCAAAAATAGTAAGCTTTAACAGACTCTTTTCAAATTATGTTTCTCTCTGGTGGTATAATAGACATATTTGTTTTCTCTGTGCCAAGCAACCCCCACACATTGGTCCATGATGTGATAGTAAATCTTATACAGATGGAAATTTTTTAAAAAGCTATTTAATAAACAAGGAAGTATACTTTTCCTTTCCTTTCTAAATTAAAAACAAACAAAAAGCATCTTTCTTACCTTCAATCCGTGATTCCAAGTACTTATCCAACTCTGAATCTTTTCTCACTGCTTCATCTGAGACCTTGGGGGCATTTGGAAAGCAAACTAGTACAATACTCATGTTATCGCGACTTCCCTATATATTAAAGAAAGAAAAATAATTATTTTTATAGTCTACCAACTTTCAATTTACTTCAAAGCAGTTAATTAAGCAATTACAGTTTACTCATCCAGAATGACACATTTAACACATTTATTAATCCCAAAGAACTATTTGAAACATCCCTTTTTCTATTCATCATTCTAAAAACATTAAGTCAAAGGAGGCAGTAGGCTATTTCTGTTTGATAGTGGGGCGTGTCAACCCAAATGAAAAAAGCCAAGCAACCCCCACACATTGGTCCATGATGTGATAGTAAATCTTATACAGATGGAAATTCTTTTCCAGTCTTTTCAGTCATTATGACATGAATCTAGGCAGGCATTGTTTGGTTCAGACTTTCCATCTTTTCAGAACCCAAATGACAAAGCAGAAAAGATAGACAGGCCTTGAAAAACTTCTGCCATCAACTCCTAATACTTAATGGAGCAAAGTTTGAAGGCAGGGGAGGTCAGGTGTTGAGAAGACTTCAAAAAGAGTAAACCTGCTGGTGTGGCTGTGTTTGAACATCAACCTATGAACCAGGAGGTCATGATTTGATTCCCAGTCAGGGCACATGCCCTAGTTGGGGGCTTGATTCCCAGTGGGGGGCATGCAGGATGGAGTCAATCAATGAATCTCTGTCATCACTGATGTTTCTCTTTCTCTCTCTCCCCCCGCCACCCCTTCCTCTCTGAAATCAATAAAAATATACTTAAAAAAAGTAAACTCCCTCCAAACACTCTCATGCTTTAGAAGGAAGAACCATCCTAAGTATATATTATCAGCTTCTCAGTATCTCCAAGGGGGGAGGGAAATCAGGATTTCCAAAATGGCTCAAACTACTTTCATTCCTTAATGAAACCCAACAAAACTTTCATAATTAATATTAGAAATACTGCATTGGCTGTATTAATACAAACACATACACAATGGTTTCAAATAGCAAAAGAGAAAAAGAGAGAGAGAGACAGAAAGAGAGAGAGAGAGAGAGAGAGAGAGTAAGTCAATACATTCTTTCACAAGAACCAGGATTTTACTATGTAAGTTCAGATCCGGCAAAGTTTTATACCACAGATATTCAAGTCCAAGATTCACTTCAATACTAATGATTTTTAGTATATGTGCTGCCGAAGCGAGCACAATACTAATGATTTTTAAAGCAGTTTTATGGGAGGAGAAACCAAGATGGCAGCATAGGTAAACACCAGAGATTGCTGCCTCGCACAACCACTTCAACAATACAACTAAAAGACGGAACGGACATCATCCAGAACCACAGGAAGGTTGGCTGAGTGGAAATTCTACAACTAGAAGGAAAGAGAGAAGCATACCGAGACTCAGAGGAGGTGCAGTGTGGAAGTAAAATACAGAGGTACGGAGGCGCATGCGGAAAAGGCTGGCAACTGAGGACGCGGCTGTCTTTTTCCATCGGGAGGGAGGCCACAG